ACATCTGAAGTTGGGATGTGCGCTTAGTGAGATGTCCTCTACAAGGTTCACCTTCCGTGGCTCTATGAACACAGTGCTTCTCTGATCAAATATTTTGCCCCTTTTCAGTAGTAACTTAAGTGTCTTGACAGTATGTTGACATTTTGTTCATGCATACGTAGTTGCATGTGTTCATGTATATGCTAGTGTACATGTTCATGTGTGTGTGTACACATGTGTACATGCTGACAGAGTCGAGAAGTCTACTTCAGGTGTCATTCCTGCATCCCAGGGATCTACCTGTCTTTACCTACAGAGCTCCATGATTATAAGTGACTATACCATGCTGGGCTTTTTATATGAGTTACTTGGGCCCTCAGGTTTGCAAGGCAAGCACTTTACTGGTCACAGTTTCTCTTCCAGGCTATCCCATTGACATTTTTGCCTTGATAAAATACAGTGTTGCATGATAGCTGCTTTTTTTTTTCATCAGGGTGAGTGAATGCCTGACAGAAGTGACTTAATTGAGGAAGGATTTATCTTGGCTCACACTTTAGAGGGTAGAGTCTGCCATGGCAGAGAAGGCATGAGAGAAGGTCTCATTACAAAACCATCGCCTATTTGAAACAGTGCCAGCTTATAGAAACTTGCCAACATCTCAGCCAATCAGAGAACAAAGACAACTCAAGACAGAAGAAGACCAATGTATAATCTTCAAGGGTCCACACCAGTATCTTCTTCCTGCCAACTAAGCCCCAATTTCTAGAAGATCCAGAGCATCCTCTAATTGCACCACAAGCTGAGAACCAAGTGTCACAGATACACAGGGCTGTGGGGGACTTTCTACATTTGTACCATAGCATGAATAATCATCATAAGTGTCCCTTATAGGCCCATGTGCTGAAGACTTATTCTGAAGCCTTGTATTACTGGGGGATGCTAGAGTCTTTAAGAAGCACAATCCAGTGCAAAGACTTGGAGTAACAGAGGAAGCATCCTTGAATAGGAGAACAAGATCTCAGACCAATTCTCTTTCTTTTTTTCACTTGACCACAGACACAGATTGTCTCTGCCATTTTCCCCTACCATGATATAATAAAAAATAAAATAAAATAAAATAAAATAAAATAAAATAAAATAAAAACAGGGCAAACAGATGTGGTTGACATCACAAAATTGTGTACCAGGATAAACCTTTTTTTCTCTATAACTTGTTCTTCTTGGGCATTTGTTATAGTCAGAAATTAGAATGACACAGAAAATGTTGGCATAATTCAACCTTTGCTTCCAGGAAGTAAGCATCATAATGAGTGGGAAGCTGTAAGGTGAACTGTGTCTATTTTAAGTAAAGTAGGTGGTTTAAATGACTACATTTCAAACAAAACTTCACTTCAGTAATACTCTCTAAATGTTTCCATTGCAGTTGGTAAAATAGACTAATAAACAGTTCTTAATGATGTGAGTCATATTCTGAGAAGAACTGAGTGGCTATACTGAGGGTCTTGAACATAACTACTTAAGAAATTTTTCTTCTTTTAAGCATACATTTGAACTCCATTATGTTTTCATTCTCTCAAAAAAGAACCCTGAGGAACTGAAAACAGCTTATCCACAGCCACACAGTCTGTCCATTGTCCAGCAAAGACTGTACTTAGTATTTTATATTTTGTGCTTTTATACATGACCTGTTAATGTGGCTTCCATATTTATTATAGTATTAAGCCATCATATAGGGCTAAGAGTTTAGATTAAACAGTGTTAACTTTCTCCCTTTTGTCCTTAAAAATAACAAGTCACCCACATCCCAATAGAAGATCACACAGCTGAGAATATTTGGGTAGCACAAAATGATCTTGTTGGGTTTTGAAAACAAAACAAAAGAAAAAGAACACAAAGTTGGATGGGTATTTGTAGAGTTTGGATCTGGAAAAAATAGGGAAAGTGGTGGTAAATATAATCAAGACCCGCAGAAAAATATAAGAACAACTTCTAGTTATTGTTTACCCAGTAAATTATCTGTGAAAATCAGCTTAAAGTGATAGTAAGACAAAGTTTAATTGGTTGTTTGGAAATGTCTAGATTTTAGAATTCTATATACTGTGTGAAGAAGATGACTCAGTGTATAAAGGTGTTTGCCACCAAGCCTGATGACTTGAGTTTGATTCCCCGGACCCATATGGTGAAAGGAAAGAACGGGAGTCCTGTAAGCTGCCCTATTAGCATGCTGTAGTTATATGCATGTGTTCTCCCTCCTCTCTCTCTCTCTCTCAGTCTCTCTCTCTCTCTCTCTCTCTCTCTCTCTCTCTCTCTCTCTCTCTCTCTCTCTCTCTCTCCAGAGCTTTCCCCAGAAATCTTGCCTTATTGGTGCTCCCAGTGTTGCAGTTACAATTACACACCACCATTCCTGGATTTTAACATAGATTCTTTGATCTAACTGAAATCTCTATGCTTTTAAGGGAAGTACTGACTGTGCCACCTCCTGAGCTCCAAGGTAGAAAAAATACTGTATGCCATAATATGATTTGATTAGTATGAGTTATAGTAATGCTTTATGCACCAAATACTGTGTCAAAATATTTATACCTTCTGGATCAGAATTCTGAATCAAGTAGGCTTTTGTCAAATGAAAGCTATTTACTAGTTACTTAGAGAATGCCCAAAACCAAAACTTGTGATTGGCTCAGGCTCAGTGAGGACACAGGTGAAAGTTAAGAATGGAGTATAGGAGAGATGGCTGCACATTTGACAATGAAATCACAAATAGTAGGCAGAACAGATGCATTAACAACAGAGAGGAAGAGTATGGAATGGAGGTAGAGCCAAGAGGACAGAACCAGTGAAGATCATGTGACTAAAAACATACTAGGTGCTTCTTGCACAGTCACACTGGGGATACTCAGAATATCCCTGTCCTAGAGATGTTAGAAGTTGGTTTTCACCGTGAAGTCAATTGTCAGGACTCTAAAACAAACAAACAAAAAAATGCTGGAAATTTTGCTCAGGGCCACATTTTTCCAACTCAAGCCCGGGTTTCTTTCAAGCCAAGTTATAATTGGATAGGGAGCCATTTCGACCTCTTCTCTAATATCTGTGCCTAATTCACTTCTGCAAGTGAAGACAGATCCTTAGCATCTTGTCTTCAGCTTCTCACATTTTACTGAGAGCACAAAACAGGTGCTCTGACAACTATTGTAACTGTCTGATGCCTTTTAACTGGAAAGAGGATACAGAAAACTGTATCCTCAGTCTGTCATGTAACACAACCTTTTATGCATTCTTTCCTCTAGCTTTGCTTGCTTTTCTTTCATCTAGGCCACCTTATATGGTCCACTCTTTTCCCTTAAGTAAAGCATGCCCTTAAGGATGTATGAAACTCTTTCAACTGTCTTGAGCATTGGGGATTGTGGCAATTCCCTGATGGTACTGAAGGATGCATGCATGGACACTTCAGACTAGCAAGTCAGATTATATCACAAAGGCACAGTCCTCTCGGGGAAGTATAAAAGAAGCCAGAGACCTTGTATAAACAAATGTCTATGTCCCAATAATATTTTATACATTATTTGAAATTAAGATAACTTATGCAATTACTTTGACTTGTTTAAAAATGTAAAGATGTAAAGCCATTCTTAACTTACAGGCTGTGCAGAACCTACAGGGAGCTTGAGCTTCATGTCCCCCTACTCTAGACTGTACAGTACCAAGTTGCTTTTCTCACAAGTAAATTGTTAGAGCCTCCAAGCCAACTTCCCTTCATTCCAGAATAACTTGTCCTAGCTCATAGTTTCCAAGCTCCTGATTGCCTATAGGAAGTCCTATACACTGTAATAATTTCAGTTTTCCCTGCATTTATGCAGTCCTTCCCCTGAGCACCACAAGATGAGAGAAAGTGTCTCAGTCAATTACCAAGCTACTGTCTGATCTAGAACTAGAGGGTGTTATTTTCTCTTAGTAAAATTCCACTGTTCAACTGTGTCAGTCTTTGAAGGAATTTTCTAATTAAACTAACTTAAACAACTAACATGTAATTGTTTAGTAGCATTTTTTAATTCCATTCAAATGATTTCTTTCAAATACTTCATTCTAGTTTTCTTTCTTGGGTATGCGTTCAGACAAGAAGATAACACTGGTCAGTAAATTACAAGATTGACAAAAGTATGAATTCAGACCCTGGCAATTACATGCTAGTGCCTAAAACTTTGGGTACCATAATATTTTTTTATTCTCTCAGCAAATACTTATATGTGCCAGGCGCTGTCCTAAAGTGAGAGTTTTGTTCACATCTATACTGAGAAACAGAAAGGAATAAAACATTTAAAAGAACCACAGGGGCAAACGAGTCATTTGTTCCATCTTACATGATATACTTGAAATCTGGCACTAACACTATCTGATCATAGAACACAAGCAAGTCTAGGATGACGTATGCTTTGCATGTTCTAAATGGTGCAAGTTCTAATCCTTGGAATTTGTAAAACAAGATGGCAATCTACACTGAAGCCTTATTATCAACACTAAATGAAATATCATATTAAAGAATTAGCATAATTCTTAGAACACGTCAAATCGTTATCAGAGGATATGTTTGCTTTTGGTTTGTTTCATTTCTTACTGATAAATTTGTCTTCCCAGATGCACTGTAACAATTTTCTGCTACATCCATTTCTTAATCATACTTAGCACTGAACTAAATTTAATTCTTAGTCATACTTTACACATTAAATAAACCCTGTGTTCTCATGGCTATACTTTATACCATTAGGCAATAGATGGGTATGTAAATGAATGTCCTTCCTGTGATATTTTTCCTTTTGTTTTTTGTTTTTTTGTCAAATATCTATATCTTCTGTTACTGATGCAGCTTGAGAAGGAGCTCTTGTGAAAATGGTATTGTTGATGTCTATTGACCGATATTGTCATTGTCTTTTGTGTCTTCGTAGATATGACCAGTAATGGCATCTACTTCAGTTCTGAGTTGCTCAGTGGACTGTGTGGATTGAGTGAACCATATCCTTTCCCATCATGATACACAATGCAAAGGCTCTCCACTTGTAGGTAATTTTTGTTCAGCTTTGTTTACATGGTTATGTAATGATACTTTTAAAGTATAGTTTTATAATGAAAATTGTCCATAGTGTTGCTAGTAAAAAGTATGACTAGAATTAGTCTCACAGTTTCAGTCCATTGTAGGATAAAGGCATACCCTAAAATATACCCATATTAAATAGGAGTAAGCATCACTATTATACTGCAATGGCTGATTTTGGTTGTCAACCGGACACATCTGGGGGAATGAAAGCTCAATTGAAGAACTGTTTCCATCACATTGGCCTATGAACATATCTGTGGGGCATTTTCATGGTTAATATGATGTCAGAGGGTCCAGCCCACTGTGGGTGGTACCATCCTTAGGCAGGCAGGTTTAGACTATGTATATAAAGCTAGTAATCCACCAAGCACCATTGCTCCATAGTCTTTGCTTCAGTTCCCCGCCTTGACATCTTGTTTAGCATTCCTTAAGTGATAAACTGTACCTTAAGTCAGATAAGTCCTTCTCTTTCTCAAGTTGCTTTTTGGTCCGTTTTTGTCATAACAACCGAACCTCAAACTAGGAAATTTAGCTCTGTGGTAATTGAGTCAAAACAAAGCTATGTCTTTAATACTTTATATTAAATTACAATTGAGGTAAGTCTACATTTTAGCAAGCTTAATACTTTTAAATAGTTCTATGTTATTCCAGCAAGATATCTATGTGCTTCCACTTACACACATCAGATGATATCTACGGTATTGTAAGAAGAAAATTGTACTCTGAGGACTGTAATTTTAGTTTGGGCTTCATTTATCATTCAATTAGTCTGCTATTCTCCAAGCTTTGGGTTTCTATAAAAAAAAATAAGAATACCATAAAATAATAATTTCTCCTTCACCTAAGTTTCTAAGATGCCTACGACAGTCAAAGAAAGGAATAAATCTGAACTTTTGACCTAGCAGTAAGACTTGAGGTTTAGGGGCTGGGAATGTTGCTTAGTTAGTACAGTGTTTACCTACCATGCATAAGGCCATTCCCAGCACTACCTAAACTGAACATCATGGAACATAGGACACATCTGTAATCCTAACACTATAGAGCTAGAAGCAGAAAAATCATGAATTCAAAGTCATCCTAAGCTATATAGTGACTTCAGCGGAAACTGAGGTTACATACGAGATCTATCTCAAAAAACAAGTACAAAATGAATACTTTATGCTGCTAAATTACAAGTAGGTAGAGGGAAAGAGTTTCAATCACAATGTTTTAAAATATTGGTTAGTAGAGCCTCATGTTTTATATGTTGCCTTCCTAGAAGATATATTTTTAAAGGCACAATTAATTTATGGTCCCTATTATTATTTCATGTATATGAGAAAATATATTAAAAATGTGAGTTTTTCAATGTCAAGAAAAGACCAGAGAAAAATACTCCAAAGAACAAAGACTTAGTTTTTTCAAAGTTATTTATTTTAGATTATGATATAATTACATAATTTCTCCCTCCATTTCTTTACTCAAACCCTCCCCTGTACCCCTTGTTCTCCTTAAAATTCATGACCTTGTTTCTTTTATTGTTGTTACATGTGTGTGTGTTCCTAAATATATAAGTACCACGTGCTCGTATAATGTTGCTCGTATGTATATGTTTTCAGGGATGACCATTTGACTGAAAGTCTCAGAGGTCATTTAGCCCCGTTACTGTGCGTGTGTAGTGAATCAGAGTGTTGTTCTGTGGAGGGAGTAGCCAAGCAAAGCTGCACACTTTGTGGCTACTGAGGAAACATCTCACCTTTCTGTGCCTAGTGTCTGTATAATGGAACTGGTAATAAAACATATTAAGTTATCACACCGTGAGGATTACAGACGTTAGGAATAGGCATGGAGCATACTGGCCTCCTTGGAGAGTGCTCAGTGCTTGCCCTAGGGAGTATGAGATCAGCATGGTGACCTTATGACCAGAAAACTCCAAGTTCAAAGTCATTCACCAATTGACTGTTGAACTCAAGAGTGGTCACTGAACTTTCTGACATCTCCATTTATGAGAAACAATGGGGATAATTGCAGTCTACTCTGTGCCACTTTTATTAGTATGACTCAAGCCAGCTTCTGAAGAGGACCCATAGCTGTAACCTTTACTGGGAATTTAAAAAAGATAATTGAAATTATAACATAGTATTATCTTCAAGTACAAGTCAGATCTCTTGATTTTGAAATTGTTTTTGCTGTATACTGCATTTAGGAGATTTTTAGGGAAGCTGTAATTGATTACATGATTTCTTTTCTTAAATATGGAAATCTTAAATATTGTTATTCATTATTAGCGATCATGAACAGCCACCATAGTGCTCCTTTAGTAGGGTCAGTTTTCTCCTTGTACCATGTGGGTCGCACAGATTAAGGTCAAGTCATTACATTAGTCTTGGTGATCCATAGCTTTACCTGCTGAACCATCTCATTAAAAAAAATAATAGCAAGTAACTCAAGTCAATTTACAAATTGCAAACATATCTTAAATATGTCACCCCAGATTTAAAAAATAATAACTGATGCAGGCATGGTGGTGCATGACTGGAACCCCAGCACTATGGAAGCTGAAGCAGAAAGACGTCCAGGCCAGCCTGGATTCCATAGGGAGTATCAGCTAACCAGGACTAAATACTAAAATTATGTCTCAGAAGACTGATAGATAAGTCTGGTGAGATTGTTCAGAGGGTAAAGGCACCTGTGGCCAAACCTGAGGTACTGAATTCAGTTCCTAAAACCTACACTGTGCAAGAAAAAAACTGACTTCCACAAATTGTCCTCTGACCGCCACACACATATTGAAGAATATGGACCTGTAAACATACACACAAACACACACACACATATACACACACACACACCACACCACACACACACACCACACACACCACAGACAGACAGACAGACAGCTACAGGCACAGAGAGACATAGAGAGAGACACAGAGAGAAAGGAAAGTGATATACATAGAGATGGATAAATGATACATGGATGCATTATAAATAAATATTCTGTTGGCTTTTTAAAACCTATTAGAAGTTATAAGCAAGAGATCTATATTTTATTTATAATGAAGTTTGAGCTGCTAACACACTTAAAACTTGTTTTGTTTTTTTTGTTTTATTTTGTTTTGTGGAAAGGAAATGGGGAAGAAAGAAGTAGAATGTAGACCACATTATAAAATGAAGGGTCAAGGGGCTTTAACTTTCACTTTCCTAATCACACATTCAGCACTGGATATGAAATGTGTCTTGTTATGAGCAAACATCCAATATTGTCCTCTGGGCTTGCGTTGGACAAAATTCAGTAGTTCATAATGAGTGGCATTTTCCACATGAGTCATGATTTGTTCCCAAGGTGGGAAGTGCTGATAACGAAGGTAGTGAGGGAGCCAAGCTCGTGACCCTATGCCTTGTGTCCATGTCTGTAGCTCAGCAGTTGCCAACCTGAGGGCTCTCACTCACACCAGAACACCATGGCTTGTGCCCTGTCCATGTTAATTATAAACCACCTGAAGCAGCCAGAGTGTTTGGTTCATCCACCACTGCATCCACCCACATTAGCAGCCAGTGAGAAGTTCACGTGTAAATTCCATCTGACTTTTAACTTGAGTCATGCTGTTATCTGTGGCTTCTGTGTGTGTTCTCTCTTTATTTGCTTTTTTAGTAATTTAAGATTGGATAGGGTTTTCCATGAGGAGAGCAGTGGTGGTTGTACAGGAGGCTGTTGAGAATAATGGCTCTTGGGGTACAGTCATAGATACCATGAGCATAGCATGTGGCTACTGCTGTATTGTCCCTGAGTAGGGACTTGGTAGACAGATGCCACTGGTCCACTTTCCCCACTTCCTATCCCTCTCTACACTTACAGTTACATAGTGTTCACAGCATTCACATTTTACTCTCTTATTAGACATTGGGCTTATTAGACATTAGGCTATGCATGGGTCTGTTAGTTTGGAATATGTTATTGAATAGAGTCCTGATGATTTCTAGTTATTTTTACTGTTTGATTGGACATTCTACAGTTATGATGTTTTCCCTTAAATTTATTTGTGACTTTATAAGTCTCTCTCTGTTAGAAGCTGGTTAAATTGGGTTTTAATCTAATACTTGTTTTTAGAAATGTATCTCTAGACACACATACACACAAATCAGAGAATTGTGTCTGTCACTCAGTGTAGGGATGGACAGAGTTTGGTAAAGATTTGGGGCATGTAGACCTGAACTTTGATGGAATTTGGAGATGGAAAGTAAATCAAATCTTTATTGCTGGGATTTTAAGAATCAATAGACAAGATGTAGCCATAATTAGGCCCAGTGTTATTATGGGAGAGGAGGCAAGGGATGGTGGGAGGTGAAGTCTCTTGATGTGAGACTCTACTAAGCAGCAGGGTATGTGGCTCACTTTTGCATACTTGCCTATCATGTGTCACTGCTTTGGTTCAGTCTCCAACATGGCATCCCAGCACCTGAGAGGTAAAAGTGGGAGGACCAGAAGTTCAGGATCATGCTCAATTTTGTAGACAGTTCTGAAAGGCAGATGAGAGCCTGTTGTGGGCTGTGGATCTTGTTTTTCTCTTTGCTACCCAAGTTCTGTCTACAACACATAGCTAATGCATAACACACCTGTACATGTTCTGTATCATGTCTTCCCCAGTATATTTCAATGTGTAGTTACTGATTAAATTCATGATGCCAATGTACACCCTGTCACCTTAGATTGAACAGGAAATAACCATCATTTAAATATTTCTAAGAAAGTCTTTGATATGGATATTATCTTAAAATTGTTATTAATGTAAATCTAAACAATTAAACAAGAAATGAAAAAGTATCACCTTTAACAGCGCCCATGCTTATATCTTACAACTACTTTTAGAAAGAGATGTTAACGTTAAGTATCTTAAAAATGTGCAAGTCAGCCAGGCTTGGTGGCTTACATATATGATCCTATCTCTTTAAAAGAAGAAGCAGGGTGATCAGGAGTTCAAG